TAGGATGACTGGAAACTGGTCAGTGTGGGACTTTTACGGTTAAAAGGCAATGCCATTTCTGCCAATAGTAAGTCCAGAACTGACCAAAAGGAGTGGGTGTCTGATATGAAGTAAAAAAAAAAAAGTAATTGGTATTTTGATTATAGAACTGAGAGCTCCTCTACTTGTTAGATGCTATAGTTTTCTAGAATTAAGGCATGATCTAATGGTTTAAAACAAAAAGATACTAGAGGCAGTGATAACATAGTCACTGAAGGAAAGGATACGAACAGGAACCCAGAAGATGAAAATAAGATATACAGGGGACCAGCAGATGGTGTAATGGTTACATTGCTGGACTCCCGCATGGCCAATCCACAATTAGGGTTGGGGATCCGGTGACTTCAAACTCACACTGGATGCTTTTGTGTGTGTTTGTGTGCCCAAAATCCTGAGAGAGAATGGAGGAGAGAAAATATTGAGGATAGCAATCCCCCCTGGTGGGTGATTTCTTGCTTTCTGTCTCTCTATCTCTCCAGCAAGCACACTCACTCTATAGCAAAAATCTCTCTTTAAAAAAAAAAAAAAGGAGGGACCAGCAGTTAGCATAATGGCTATGTCACTGGATTCCCATGTAGTCCACCATGGTTCGAGTCCCGAACCCGGTAGCTTAAAACTCATGCCGGGTGCGTGTGCGTGTGTGCCCCAGATCCCGAGAGGAGAATGGAGGAGAAGGGACTGTGGCATGGCCATCCCCCCTGGGGGGTGATTTCTGTCTCTCTGTCTCTGTCTTTCTGGTGAGTACACACACCCTATAGCAAAAACCTCTCCAAAAATAAATAAATAAAAGGAAAATAAGGCATATGGGAGGGTGGTATAGCTCATTAGTATGAGCTTCAGAATAGCACACAGTTCTGCAAAAGGGAAGGGAGGACTGCTCTTCAAGCAACAGTGAAGGGCAGCAAGGCCATACATACACACACACACATAACCTATATTCACCTGTATTTAGTGTTATGAAGATGTCCATTTTCCTTAACAAATCCTGTAAGTTCAATTTAAGCTCAATTAAAATACTTATGTAAATATATAAATAAACACAGAAGAGGGAGGGTAAGAGAAGGAGATAGGTAGATTTTGATTCAGGTCAGGATTTCTCAGCAGAGCACTCTTGACCTTTTTTTTTTTTTTTTTTTTTTCCTTAACTTTAACACTTTTTTTCCTTTGTTTAAATTTTT